TGGCTCAGAATTCACAGTATTCGCTACAATATTTTTTTTTCTTTTTCAATATATTTCACTATTTTTTTCCTTTTAAAACCTTTGGTTGGCTTTGTCCACTTTTGCCTGATGGCAGGACAAGAAGCTCCTTAAAGAGAGACCTTACCCATAACTGGAGAAATTTCCTGAGAGTGAGAGCAATTAAGCAACGGAAGAAGCTTGCCTCCTGGAGTTGTGGATACTTCATTGCTGGAGTCCCAAAGGTGCTTTCTCAAGTTGAAGCACCTCCAAGTGCTTCAACAGCCCTCTAAAAGGATGCAAATGACCAGCTGTCTGCAAGGAATATAAATCCTTCCATTCCCCTCTATCCTGTCAGAGCTGAAGAAGCTTCTTGGATGAGAAGTGAAGTGTCTTCAAAAGAAAAAAACAAGAAAATCCAGTTGCCTCCTGATAAAAAAGCACCTTTGGGACTCCAGCAATGAAGTATCCACAACTCCAGGAGGCAAGCTTCTTCCGTTGCTTAATTGCTCTCACTCTCAGGAAATTTCTCCAGTTATGGGTAAGGTCTCTCTTTAAGGACTTCTTGTCCTGCCATCAGACAAAAGTGGACAAAGCCAACCAAAGGTTTTAAAAGGAAAAAAATAGTGAAATATATTGAAAAAGAAAAAAAAATATTGTAGCGAATACTGTGAATTCTGAGCCAAAGACATCAACAGGATATAATGTTCAAAAGCTCTTAAGAGAGACGCAAGGGATTCTGCCAAGTGAAGTACAGGGAGCAGACTGAAGAATTGCGAGGAAGGGCTTGGAGCAACTAAAGCACCCAGGGGTCCTTTGAAGTTCAGTGGCAAAGGACAGGAGATGCAAGGGGCGCATCGTGTTTCAGATTTGTTGGCGTTGTTCCTGAATGCCAGCAGGCTTTAGGAAGAGGGACTTTTGTTTGTCTTTTGGCTTCTCCAGATAAAGCAGAATTTCCTTTATGGTAACTAGATCTGAGCTGGGATAGACCATGTGTCTATCTACAAAGGAATTCTTACAACTGTTACTTCTTCAAAGGAATTGTTTCAACCATTCAGAGGAATTGTTGCTGTTACAATTGGAACAACCACTGAATCTTTTTTTTCCCTTCTGTCCCCAAATCATAAATATTGCTATTGTACAAATCCAGTTCACTTTTCTTTCCATTTAAAAAATAAAAGGGAATATTTCTTTAAATCATCATCATCATCATCATCATCATCATCATCATCTGCCAGAATATGTAACGAACTGTACTCTGCTCAGAGTCATCAGAAGGGAAAGGCCAGATAAGCCAAATAAATAAATATCTTGCAAAGTTCATCAAATCCTGTTGAAATGTCATAAAAGCTCTTGCTATTTGTGCATTTCCAGTACTATTAAGATGTTCAAATCTCACTTTAGAGTTAGCCCTAATTCTAACTTGGTGAACTCCACATGGCCTGAAGGGAATCAAGTTGTTTTCTTTCCTGCCAATATTTAAATTTGCCTGGGGGTCAGTGCAAGTACTTAATATTTCTAATTTCAAAGAAATGAGACACAAAGGGTTAATCTAATTGGCTGGCCATGATTGTTTCAAACCACTATGGGCACAGCCCACCTTGGTCTTGGAACATAACAGCTGTATTTCCACAGAATGTTTAATCACATCGAGAGTCTAGTCATCACATTGGTGGCTCATCAGCTAAGACACTGAGCTTGTCGATCAGAAAGGTCGGCAGTTCGGCAGTTCGAATAACTGGCATTTAGTCATGCCGGCCACATGACC